CGTTTGAAACTGCGCGAGGTTTTTAACTGCGCGTGTTCTGCATGTGCGCGTCGCCAGCAACTGCGCGAGGTCTGCAGCTGCGCGATGTCAATGCGAAGCGTTTGTAACTGCGCGAGGTTTTCAGCTGCGCGAGGTCCGCAGCTGCGCGAGGTCCGTTTTGTGCCTTTTGGAACTGCGCGATGTTTGCAACTGCACGAGGTCGGCAACTGCGCTTGGTCTGCAACTGCGCGTGCTCTGCAACTACGCGTGGCCAGCAACTGCGGGAGTAGTGCAGCTGCGCGTGGTTTGCAACTGCGCGAGGTATGCAACTGCGCGAGGTCAATTTGTGTTGTTTGTAACTGCGCGATGTTTGAAACTGCGCGTGGCTGCAACTGAGCGAGGTTTGTTAGCGATACTAGCAACTGCGCGTGGTATACGTGGAGCAAAAAACAGTGTCAGGCTTAAGTAAACCCCTAGTAAATGTTAGGTTTAGGAAAAATTTCAAGTGCCATCCGACTTCTATTATCATAACCTTTAAATTCTCCGAGTACCAACGAAATCGGAGATTTACACTTGAAAGGGTTCCCTTGTCAGTGCTGTTCAGTGCTGCTCAGACCTCGGTTCAGACGGGCGTCAATTAACAGCTATAAATGGTTCGGTCGCAGCTTGACACATTTACCATCCGATCGTCGGTGCTAGTCGGTGCCGAGCTGTTCGGCGAAGGTTCGGCTACTCTACGGATGTGATCTGCTGTCGTCCGCGTGCGAGCTATCGCCTGTTCGCGCTAACCGGCCTCCGGAGCGTTGCTCGCGTAGCTCGCTCGTTGCCGGGCTCTAGGTTGCACCTCGTCATGGCGTGCACGAATCGGGCCGAACGGATGGACCTGCGACAATGACATAAATGGTCCTTTACTCTTACGAGATGCGGCTATCGCGTGACGAGAGCGTTTTTTGACATTTCACTACTAAGGTACCGAAAATGGGCAAAATGTGTTCAAATTTTGACCCAATTTTTAACCAAAACTTTGACATTTTTAAAAAAATATTGAAAATTCGAAAATTGCTCTCGTCATGCGATAGCCGCATCTTTTAAGAGTAAACAACATTTTTGGTCGCTGTCGCAGGTCCATCCGTTCGGTCCAAATCGTGCACGCCACGACGAGGTGCAACCGTCCACTTCGAGCCCGGAGGTGTGCACTGTATGTGCATACGTCGAACGCCAACAACAATTTTTTTCCGTGAAGCCGAGAGCATGGGTCATCTTGATTGACTGAGCGATTAGCGAAGCCTATTACTCCGTCTGGTCGGAAAAAACTTTTTCTGTCTGTGTATATGTCCGCACGAAAACTCGAAAACGAATTGAGCGATTCAGAGTCGTTTTGTGTCATAAAATGACAATCGAGTTCGAAGATGACCATTTTACCTCAAAAATTTGATTTAAAAAAAATCTAAAACAATGGGTCCCAAAAATGGCATGTTTAAAAAATAATATTTTTTATGGTTACCTAGGGGTAACTCATTAAAGTCGAACCCTGTGGGCGAAAATTTTGTCCGGTTTGCTCTTGCTCAAACCAGTGAGGCGCTAGACGGGATTTTTGACGAAAATAAGCGATAAAATGTACAACCCTGCATAGATGTAGATGTATGCCAGGCGCGTCGCAGCGTCAGTGTTTCGTGAGATATCGCGAAGCCTGTTACGCGAGACGTGGTCTGGCGTACATCTACCTTGTTTTAATATTTAGTTATGTACTTTATAGTGATCTATATCTAGTTTTATTTTGCCGCGGGCCACCCTAGCGTAAGGGAGAGCGGGGTACCATGAGCATGGGGCACGATGAGCATTTTAAATTTTCGCGCCAATGATGTCACCGCCCGCCACCAACCTGTTAGACGTTGATAGGGGGTGTGCCAGCGGATGTTTTTATCGAGAGCGCAAAGTCGCACGGCGCGTAAGACGAGAAAGGGAGAGGTTCATAAATTTAAAGAGAGCTATTGAGGTAAATGGAGCATAAAATTATTTGGGATATTTTCTCTTAGAGCCGAATGCTGAGTTCGACAGTACAATCGACGTTTTCCCTGCCTTCTGTAACCTTCTTACTATGAAATACGACTAGACGCGATTTTTTAGAACACCTGGGGTTGACTCAGGTCTCTCTAGACCAAAAAGTTGTCTTTTGGGGCACGATGAGCAGTTTTTTTCGGGGTACCATGATCATGCAAACGTCAAAACTTTTTATATTCAAATTAGTGATTTAGATTCCGCTCGTCGAAAGGAAACGAAAATGTCTTATTCGCCGCGACGATCGGAGACAAAATGCCAGAGTTATTGACGTTCAAAGTTACACTAAGTCATTTTTGGCACTTGTTGTCACTTTGAACGTCAATATCTCTGGAATTTTGCCTCCGAACATCTCGGCGAATGAGACACTTTCGGTTTCTTTCGACGAGCTGAATCCAAATTACTAACCAGATTTTGATTTTTACATAATTAGGTTTTGACGTTTGCGGCTGTGAGCTCACACGTTTCCTAGGCGCAGTCTGGAAAAGGGCCGCTTCCCACAGGATTCCCTGGCAATGACATTGTCATAAATCCCTTCGCAGAGTTTCAAAGATTTCTTTTTCTGATTTTTTTTTGTGTCTTTCTAGGAGACAATATGCATGATCATCGTACCCCACCTACTGATCATAGTACCCCATAGGTGGGCTACCCTGAACATAATGCAGGGTCCCAATATTTTATCCCCAGCTCAGAAATGGTTTGATTGAGAGAAATTATTTCCTAAGCATGTTGTATCTAAGAGACCTAGCTCCCACCTGAGCCCATGATCTAGCTGCCATCTACCACTATAGGGGAGAGAAGGCCTAAATCAAAAAAAGGGATCATGGTACCCCGCTCTCCCTTACTGTGATCAGACGCACCACCCGATCATATCCCGGCCCCGGATGTCAACGTGGTGGCGCAGAACACATCCAGATTCGCGCTAAGGAATTTATTTTAGCGATGACCCAGTAGCACATGAGAGTGATTCGTATGGGATGATCCCAAATTACTCCCGAAATTAAATGGCAGCTGCTTTGATGACTAGGAAGTGCCGCCCACTGTGTACTCTACCCTACCACCACCCGCTGTTCGACAATCTTTCCCTAATACTCGGCCGTGGCTCCACAGACAACGGCGGTGACAGTGCACGATATCGCCTTCGGCGCTCTCTACGTGGCGTACACATTTATGGAGTTGTTCACCTTTTGCTACTTCGGTGACGTCGTGGCTGAGTCGGTAAGGGCAGGGGTCTCAGACTGTGACGTCACGCGGGCCGCACGAGTCGAACCTCTCACTCGCACTCACTGCGATCACATAGCTCCATCTCTCTCCAGTGCGGCCCTTGCGGCCCGCGGGCCGCGTGTCTGAGACCCCTGGGTAAGGGTGTCAGTGCCATTTCTCCACAGCTCCGAAACGTATCAGATATATTTTCTCCACTCAATAGACGTCGTATGGAAGGTTGTTATTCGCACAGTGGCAAAATAATCACAAAATATGTCAACTGGGCCAGAGAGGACACGGAGGGGGAAGGAGGTTCTGCCGAATCCAGTGCAGCGCAGTGATCCACAGTAGTGGCCAGTGTCTATTTATGCCTGTCAGCCAGTCTCCGCCACAGCAGTTTATCACCCTGCTTAGCCTTCGTCTCCCTGCGTGTCCACTCTGGCCCAGTGGCTAAGGGAGGGTGGGGCAGTGTGTAACAGGGGCAGTAGGTAACAGACCTCCGGGTGATTCTCAGAATACGGGCCATTTGGGACTTCCTAAAATTTTTATTTTTTTGTCGAATTTGCTAGGTTTTTGGGTCGCAATGGTTTTATTTACCTTCAAATAAGATACGTGTAAAGTGGCGATAGTTCAAATCAACCTGCCTGAAGTTGGCCAGAAAAAAAGTTGGCCAGAAAAAAAAACTTAGTCGAAATTTTCAATTTTTTCTAAAAAAAAGGACTAAAAATTAACCATCCAGAAATGCGTTATTAGACCTGGGAAACAACATATCAAAAGATAGCGGGACACTTTTTCGGAAAGTCTTGGCCACTTACGC